TGTGTGTGTGTGTGTGTGTGTGTGTGTGTGTGTGTGTGTGTGTGTGTATGTGTGCGTGCGCACACATGCTTATGGAGGCCTAGGGTCAACCACCAGGGCTGCATCTCAGGAGACAAGATTTCCCTCTGAGACCTGGAGTTTGCTATTCTTTAGGCTAGGCTGGCTGGCCCGGGAGCCCCAGTCACCTCTGCCTCATCAATGCATGCAAAGATGACAGGCGCAGCTGCCACATCTGGCCTTCTACACACAGAGCAGGAGGGGGAATCAGCCTGGGGTCCTCAAACTTACACAGCAGAGATACTATCACTGAGCTCTCTCAGGCCTGGTCCTCGCCCACAGATCACTTCATCACCCTCAGAATCTGAGCTCGCCTGTAGATCACACCACGGGCCGGCTGCGTCCTGAACCTCCCTGGTTAGCTAGAGTACTTGTGTATGGGACTGAAAGATCCAGACGGGGATGGAATGTTCTAAAGTGAGCCTTCCCACTGAAAACATAAAGTTCTGGCTCTTCTTGACCCAGGTGGGAAGTCCTACCACTTTCTACCCATGGGGAGTCTTTGGAGTGGGAAATCTTTTGATGCACATAGCCCACGGAGTCTCCAAGCCAGTTCCTGAGACACGTTACAAGTTCAGCTAGGCTGTCTTCATATGCCCTTCACATGCCAGGCTGACCGGGTCTTACAGCCACTGCCATTTGAGATTGACAGTGCAGTTGGATGTTATGCTGTGTGGATGGTTATGTCACCCACAGTGAAACCATAGGCCCTTTCACTCCATCTTCTGACTTGACAACCACCAGGCCACCAGGCCAGCACAGTATGTCCTTTGTGCTACTGTTTCCGGGGGCCGCTCCCCTCTTCTATGTTAGACACCCACATGTGAATAGAAATCACCCTTTACTTTACAGTCGTCTTCTGGTTGTGGCTAAATAAACTTGGGGTGGGGGAGAAGGGGACACATGCCTTTCTCAAGTCATCCTGCAGGGGAGTTTCTCCCACTTGTATTCCTGCCACCAAGGGAGGGGAGATCTCTGTTTCCAGACCCTCCACCTTTTTAAAAACATCTTGGAAGAGCCAGTTGCAAACCTTATGGGGCACTCTGGTGTTCCAGGCAGATCTGAGGTCAGTTAGCACAAAGAAAGGCTTTGGTCCAGGAGGCCTAGCTCTGCTCCTTGTCAGGAGAGGGACTGGACCGGTCAATGGGCTGTAGCAGTCTAGGGGGTGTCTTGGTTACCACTGCTCTAAGACGTATGGTTCTCATTCCAGGCATCTTTTCCACAAGTCCTGTGTTGACCCCTGGCTTCTAGACCATCGCACCTGTCCCATGTGCAAGATGAACATTCTTAAAGCCCTAGGGATCCCGGTAAGCACAGCGCAGCCTGTAGCCTCGTCATGTCTGTCTTTTCACATTGTCCCCAAAGCAGGAAGAAAACATCTTCTCTGGATTGTCCATGTCCCCTGTTGACATCACCCAATGAACTCTGTGTTCGGGCATCCCTCTTGGCACCTTTGCTCCCTCTGATGACACCATGTCCACCATTTGTCTGTGAGTCAAGGAAGGTGCTGCTCGTGTAGCTCATAGGCATGTCTTCAAGGGGAGGGGCACACAGAAGAGACACAATGGGTCAGCTGAACACTAATGGCCTCTTTGGTTACCCTACCTGCTTTGTACTCAAGGAGAGCTACATGCCGTGGTTTGGGCACTTGCTGTCTCCTGGTCACCAAGCTTTCAGAGGTGGGGGGGGGGAGGGTGGGGAGAGGGTGGGGGGAGTATTCCCTCCCACCCATGGGTGGTGAGGACCAAGACCAAGGATGCAACTCAAAGCATCTGCTAAATTTACATCTCTGGAGACTTTGAGCAAAGAAGAAGCAGAGTCAGAGCCACTTAAATCCCACCCTGCCGTCAGATGCTTCTCAAAGTCATGTGTTTTCTGATGTTTAGTGACTCTCCCTGGGGTCAGAAGCCTGCCAGCTGGCTTGACGCTCGGGGAAAGCCTCTCCCAGGATTATATCAAGTGAATACCACAAGTAGTAGTCAATGAGACACCAGCTGCTGGGTGCTGTCCTCTCTGGGCCGATGAGCACAGGAAGCAAGCCAGACAACAAATCCAAAAACTACATGGGGAGATGCGAGGAAACCATAGGCACTGTCTGAAAGGAGCCTCCAACCCGAGCATAGAGACCAACTCAGCCCTGCCCATGCGGCCCCTCCTTACTGCCACCTGTCTACCGCCACTCCTTGCTGTTATGACAAAGAGTAAAGAGAATGCTAACGACCCCAGGATGTCACTGAAGAATGAGGGCCAGATCACGTATCAGAGTGCTCTTGCACGCCGAAGGGCTAATTAGACATATCAGAGGGCTCTGTTGGACAATGTGTCCCAGGAGTGTTGTAAGAACCTGCTTTGGCTGGCTTGACTGCCCTGTGCCAGCTGTCTCAATGGCAGTGGATCCACGAAACATAAATCCACTCAAGAGACTGGGGCTTTGAGCCAGATTATAGACACTGTGCATTAAATTTTCAGACCAGAGTTGTGCGTGCGCAGTGTTTTCAAGGCTAAGCCAGCCATAGTGAGTGTGGAACACAAGAGGACATCCATATCTACCAGAGGCTGGTGACTGCCTCTCGCGGTTCTGGCTGTAACTGATTAAGGAAGAAGGAGAATGTGTACATGCTTGCTTGCAAGTGTGTGCACTTGCATAGATGCACGGATGTATTTGTATGGATATGTGTGTGCAACTGGATGTGTATATGTGCATGTCTATTATTGCATATTATGTGCATTGTGTGGGGGGGAGGTCTTGATAGAGTTTGTCTTCTCTGCCAGTTAAAGAACCAAAAAGTAGGAACTATCTGAAGCAAAACAGGTGGCAGAGAGAAATCTCAAGGCACGCAGACAGAATCAGCTGGGGAAGGAAGGCATTGACGGGGGCTGAAGAAACACATGCACACAGCAGACACACAAAGAAAAACAGAATCACAGCTGAGTGGGGACCTGAAAAAAAATCAAAAATCCAGTCTCTTCTCCAGGCTGGGGGCTTTTGAAGCCTCTGAAGATTTTCCTCCCCGACTTAGGGATTGGTCAGTTTGAAGAGACAGGATGATTGATTGGCCCACAGCTGCTGTGTGATTATGTCTAACCTGGTCATCTGTCCATCAGTAGGGGACCTGCTAGTAGGAGACAAATACCATCAGGCAGATGCTCCAGAGGGGAGCTGATGGGACACCAGCTGCCGGGCGTCATCTTTTCTGGTCTGAGGAGGATAGGAAATAAGCCAGGCCACCAGATCCAAGAAGTACACAAGGAAACATGAGGAAAGCATGATGAAATATGAGGAAAAGTTGACCACCTTGGAAATCCAGTTTATTTACCAAGCCATGGCCTCTCTCACTCTCTGTCTGCCTGGAATCTATCTAACTCCAAGTCTCTCACGTGCATGCTTGCATGTGATTGCAGCAATGTGTGTATGTGAGTCCTCACGTCCATGCAAGAGTAAGCTTGGATGTGTATGAGTGTGTATTGACATGTGTGACCGTATTTTCATTCTTGTGTGCATTGTGAGCTTACATGTATGTGCTCACACACATGTGCTTACCTATGTGTGTTGTACGCTTACATGCATGTATGTATGCATGTGCACCATTTCACATACCCCTGTGACTCAGGATGGTTTCACCGCTTACTCACAGCCCTTCTCCCTTTGGTCAGGTCTAGAAAGCAAAGGAGCCCTTGCTCTGTGCTTAAATTTTGTGCTGAATATTTGATCCCAGATTTTTTTCCCATGGAAGTATAATTTCTCCAGAAGCTACTTCTAACTGAATTCCAAATATTGATGTTAATTTTTCTAAAATAGAAATACTGAGTGGCCTTTTGGATTACTTCCAAACTAAATAGCATTTTAACTTTTAGCAGTTGGCCACTCTGGCTGAAACTCCAGTGCCTGACAAGGCTATGTGACTTAGCACACTCAGCTCACATAAAAATAAACATCAGTAGCATCTTTGGGCTTTGCCAAGGATTTTGAAGAGCCATGAAGAACATGGCACATCCACACACACCCCACGGAACAGAACGTCCCCGTGAAGGATGAGGCATGCGCACTACGTGGCTGCCTGGGAAGCATCAAGCCATATGGCCTCCCTCCTGCCTCCCAGGGCTCTCTTTTGTCTTGGTGAAGACAGATTCAGGATCTGGGAGGAACTTGGGGTTTGGTTCCATCCCATCATGCTGTTATCAGGTAGCACTTTGCCTAAAATGCTTCATTTATTTCAATCTTATTTGAAATAAATGCAATCATTTATTTCATTCTTAAACTTTGCGTGTGATTGGATCAGCTTACAGCTGTGTTAATTAGAAAACATACCTTAAACCAACATTTTTTAAGGCAGTTTAAAGAAATGGTCTTAATTTTTCCCTATACTCTAAGTTCAAGTTTAGTTTAATTTAGTTTACTTAACTACAGAATCTCCCTAGGCAGGCAACCTAGGATAATCTCAAACTTGTAATCCTCCTGCCTCAGGCTCCCAAGAATCTCTGGTATTCCAAGTGTGCACCCCACACACACACTGGAATAGGGACCTGTTATTTTAAGAACCATTGGGAGGAGCCCATCTCCACACACTGACATGCTGGTCCTTCGTCTCTGGATCCCCGACTATGCCAAGTGCTCTTGCAGAACTGGAGCCCTTCAGAGCTTTGAATGCCTTCTGTCTCAGAATCACACAGACCAACTACACCCCCACGTCTCCCTGCAAGAGTGTCAGCTCACGAATGAACTCATCGTGAACTTGACCCATCCGACTACTCAAGTACAGACAGCTAGGTGTACTGTATTTGTTTGTGTTTTTGTTATTTTTGGCTCAGTGTATATGTACCGCCTGTGGTAATCAACAAATACACATAAGTCAAAATCCAAGAGCTGGGGACATTTTGTATTTTGTACTTTCCCACAATGGCTAAATGAGAGTACATCCCCTGATTGAGGAAATCCTCATAGCAATGTATATTTTTCCGTAAGGTTTTGTCAAAAGAAATCTTAAAGGGAGAAGGAAAGGGTCTTTTTATTTTCTTTATTTCTGAGAACTTCATATGCTTATAAAGTGAGCTACAGTGGAAGGGCTCGTTATTTCCAGTTCTCTCTCCTTGGCCGACATTGCTGTGCCTCATCCCGCACCTACCCATCTGGTGCAGGTCTCTCTTACAGAAGAGTAGTTTTCGTGAGTCCTCCAAATTTTCAGCACACGGGCATCAAGGCCGGGAAGCACCTCCCACCGTCATTGTTCTCCAGATGTGAACAGGATGCAAAACACCATTAGAAAGAAAACCTAGTGTAGCTAGTGTAGTCATAGGCTTCTAATTATTGGCCATTGATTTATCTGGGGGCTTTCCTCATGCTGCCTGAATTTTAGTGCCTCGGCAAACTTTATTAGCACATAGCCTTGGATACAGTCCTTTAAACACTAAGGTTTGGGGGTTTTTTCAAGAGGTAGAAAAGTTTCTGACTATTCACGTAGATTGACTATAAATTGGGAGGTTCTGCAAGATTGATCCATTACCTATTACATCCAAGCTAAAGTTGTCGCCCTTGTTGTCACTGAGATCTCACCAACTATCTCTGCTTCCTCTTCCCCATGAAGAATGGAGCAAAATTTCCCCTGACCCACAAAATAAGAACTTCGTTAAAGTGCAGTATGCTGAAGCTGGAATGTGGAAAAGAGAGCCACCAGTGTCAACAAGCAGTCACAGTCTCAAAGACTGAACAAGTCCTTGCTGCATATGTCTGCATTGGGCTGTTTGCGTTTGTGACAGTGACTAGCGCTCACTGTCTGCCCTTGGTGGCACCCCTTCTACCTAACACCCTGCCCTGAGGTATTTTGTTTAATAAATACCTTTACAGAGCATATCTCAGTTTTGCATAGAACTTTCTAGTCCTTAAAGTATTTTCTAAAATCCTCCTGTCATTGATCTTGGCGAGATTCTAATATGCTCTAGTTTTTGAGAGCAGAAATCTGAGGCTCAGATAAAATACTCCAATCAATATTTCCTGAGCATCTAATCATTGTGGCGGGATATGGAAGCTTGGGAACCAAAACCAAGATGCCGTGGATGCTGCTCATTGTAATTCTTGTAAACAGTGGTGAGCAAACAAGGCATTGACAGATGACCGCAAACCCAAGTGCCACATGAGTCACTGCAGGATCAAAGACCCCTGCTTGGGAGGGAGCCTTTCTTAGAAATGGTGACATTGTTGGGAATTAAAGAGACATTAGCAAGAACAAGTCATTTGGAAACCGTAAGAAGCAAACAGGAGGGCAGTAGGCATATGTCATCCTAAGCAGAGGGATAGTAGAAGATGAAACACTTAGCTAGGGGAACACATGTGTTCTCTGTCTTCAAAGGCTGATGGATGGTGAAGACAGAATAACAAGCTGGGCTAGGATGTGCAGTGTTTGGTCGTGGCAACTCTTACACCCTGTTCTTTACACACAGAGAATACTCAGACCTCTGCTGCAGTTGTTTGTTGTGCAGTGGTGTTGATAAATGTGGTTGTTGCTGGAGTTGTTGCTGGAAATGTTGTTGTTGATAGTCTTACTATGGTTGCTGATGTTGCGGTTCGTGTTGTGGTTATTGATATTGTTGTGGATGTAGTAATAGATGTTGTGGTTGTTGATGATGTAGTTGTTGTAAATGCTGTGGCTGTTGGTGTTAGTATTGTAGATGCTATGGTTGTTGGTGTTGTTATTGTAGATACTATGGCTGCTGGTGTTGTTTTTGTAGATGCTATGGTTATTGGTGTTGTTATTGTAGATGCTGTAGTTGCTGGTGTTGTTATTGTAG